TCAGGCTGTGGACAGTCCTGCTGCCCATCCAGCTGTTGCAAGCCCAGCTGCTGCCAGTCCAGCTGCTGCAAACCTTGCTGCTGCTCTTCAGGCTGTGGTCAGTCCTGCTGCCCATCCAGCTGTTGCAAGCCCAGCTGCTGCAAACCTTGCTGCTCTTCAGGCTGTGGACAGTCCTGCTGCCCATCCAGCTGTTGCAAGCCCAGCTGCTGCCAGTCCAGCTGTTGCAAACCTTGCTGCTCTTCAAGCTGTGGACAGTCCTGCTGCCCGCCCAGCTGTTGCAAGCCCAGCTGCTGCAAACCCTGCTGTTGCTCTTCAGGCTGTGGACAGTCCTGCTGCCAGTCCAGCTGCTGTGTCCCCATTTGCTGCCAGTGCAAGATCTGATATGAGGGCCCTACCAACGACCACAGGGTGGGGGTGGGGGATTCTGGTTTCTTCATGCCCCTTTCCACCTCTTGCTCCAGGCAGCCTCTCTCCTGCATTTTCCTTGTGCCCAGCACATGTAGCAGCAATATGTGGGCCCTTTTCTATCCTTGAAAAAGTTTGCATTCCAATCCGTAGAGATGCCCTGGAGGGTCGTAGGTGCCTGCTTTCTGCTGTCAGATGTCTCTTACTTTGGTGATAGACATTTTCTGCCTGACCTTGGTTCAGGCCTTGGGTCTCCAGTGATTGACCCAGAACACCTGCAACTTGGCTTCTCAGAAGAAGCCACAACTTCTGACTCAGGTACTTCTCTGAACTCAGTTCTTTCCAGCAGGAACCTTCCTTCCTGTTGGTTTCTGTCTTTTGCTGTTAACATCAAACTGAATTTCAATTCAATAAAAAATACTCCTTCCACTTTTAACAAGACTGCTTCTGATGTGGTTCTTTATTTTATCCTATTCCTCTGTATTATGATATATTTCATTTCCTGGAACCCCATGTTCAATCAACAGGTACATAATGACCCATACACTATCCACCCTTCACCTGTCTCTGCTCAAAGACTTCCAACTATACTTTGACGAGCCTGGAGTCTGGGCAAGGAAACATTTGGGGTTTCTTGAACCAGAATTGGGTGCTGGGTTTGGATTCTGGTCACCAAGGATGGAGGCCTAGTCACTGATACCAATTGTGTGGATCTTAGACCACTAGATTCTCTTACTGCCTTCAATTTGCTCTAGTCCTCATTGATCATGTGGTCTTTGTATTTCCAGAAATATCAGGAAGAATTGACATCAGCTTGCTGAGATTAAGACTTCCTATGCATGAAAATAAGGAGCTCTGATAGCATAGTGTTTATGAATCGGGCTGCTAACCTCAAGGTCAGCAGTTCAAAACTACTAGCCATTCCACTGGGGAAAGATGAGGCTTTCTGCTCCTGTAAAGGTTTACAGCCTCAGAAACCCTGTGCAAGTTCACTATGAGTCAGAACCAACTCCATGGTACTTAACAACAACAACATGCATGAAAATGGAATATGCCTTGAAGTCTCTTTTTGTTTCTTTCATCAGAAGTTTGTATACTTTTCCTTCAGATGCATACTGATATCGTATATATAAATATTGTTAGATCTATCCTAATGTGGGGAGTCCTGGTATGGTGTTGTAGGATAAGTACTGGACTTTGAACCTCAAGGTTGGCTGTTCAAACCTACCAGTTGCTCCTAGGAATCCCTGTGCAGGGTCACTATGAGCCAGAATCAACGCTATAGCACTTAACAACAACAACAACACACCTAAGTAGTTCATTATTTTCCCCCACACAACTGTCAGTTTGTTGTACTGTGGTGACTTGCATGCTACTGTGATGTTTGAAGTTATGCCACTAGTCTTTCAAATACCAGCATGGTCACCCATGGAGGACAGGTTTCAGCAGACCTTCCAGACTAAGACAGACTAGGAAGGAGAGATGGACCACTTCTGAACGGTTAGCCACTGAAGTCCTTATAAATATCAGTGGAACAATGTCAGATACAGTGCCAAAAGATGAGCCTGGCTCGCATTTCTTGTGGATGTAAACCAAGTAGAGGAATTGTTTTCCAACTTTCTGAGGAAGCACCAAATTGTTTTCCATAGTGGTTGAACCATTTTACAATCCCACCAACAATGTAGAAGGAAGCTAGTCTCTCCATGTCCTCTCTAGCATCTCCTGTGTTTTTTATTTTTTTAAACTTCGCTATTAATGGTATCTCATTGTTGTTTTGATTTCAGGAGCTCTGGTAGTGTAGTGGTTACGAATTGGGCTGCTAATTTTATGGTCAGCAGTTCGAAACTACCAGCTGTTCTGCAGGAGAAAGATGAGGTTTTCTGCTCCTGTAAAGACCTACAGCCTTGGAAACCCTGTACAGGGTCTCTATGAGTCGTAACTGACTCCGCAGCACATAACCACCACCACAAGTGGCTAATGATTGTGACCATTTCTTCATAGTTTATTGGCTGCCTGAATGTCTTCCTTGGTGAAGTGTCTGTTCATGTCCTGTGCTCATTTTTAAACTGGGTTGTCTTTTTCTCGTAAAGGTGTTGTAGCTTTGTATAAATTTTGAAGATTAGTCCTTTGTCTGATATATCATTGCAAAAAATTTCCGCCTTCTGTGGGCTCCCTTTTTACTCTTTTGGTGAAAACTTTTTTTTTTTTTTTTTTTTGTCAAAACGTTTTTTTATTGTGAAGTGTGTGAAAGTTTACAGAACACATCATCAGTCTTATTGTCAACAAATCATATACTTTGCTTCATTATAATGACTGCAATCCCCTCCATGGACCATCAGTTAGCAGTAGTTACCTCTATTCACTTTAATTAACTCTTGCACATGTTCCTGTGTCTCTTGATGTCTTCATCTTTCCTCTGCTAACCTCCTTCTTGTTGTATATTGCTTGCTCCATCACTCATGTTAACATGTGACTATCCTCCAGTCCGTGAGTAACATTCCCTCCTTCCCCTGTGCCCCTCATCCCATAACCTTCACAGAATGTTTCTTTTATCAAGAAAACCTTTACTTAACTTTTTACAACAGTGGTCTTGTACAATATTGGTCCTTTTCTTATAGACTAATTTCACTCAGCATAATGTCCTCAAGGTATATCCATGTTGTGAGGTGTTTTGCAAATTCATCCTTAATCTTCAACATTGTAGTATTCCATTGTGTGTATGTACCAAAGCGTGTCTGATCATTCTTCTATTGATGGGCATTTAAGCTGTCTACATCTTTTTGATGTATCTCTTGTAGATAGCATATTGAAGGATCTTTT